TTGACTGGGAAACAAATACAGTGGAAGTCAATGGTTACAGGTTTCCAACATTCTTTAGCCTTTTTTTTTTTTTAACAGAAGTCAGGTTTGGAACAAGTGAATAGTGAGTAAATGATGACTTTTTTAGTTTTGGGGAAACTGTTTCTTTAAAGGGTCATGACACCCCCCACTTTCAGTTCAGGTCTACCTCAGAATTTTTTCAAAAGATGCATCATAGTGGGCGTAGAGCTCCGCGAGCAAAAGGCAGGAGTGGGCGTGGCCAGCAGGGGAGAAGGAGGAGAGCGAACAACTCTTGTGTTTTTAGTTAGCTCAAAATATGACACACAAACCATGAGGAGACGCATGATTTTATAGTTTACAAAGTTAAAATGCAAAAAAAATAAACAGTAATTTAATGCCCTGCTACATTTGTTATTTGTAATTTTATATACACACAACCACAACTTATATCATTATAAAGGTAATCGTGTTCATATAAACACTATAAGTCAGGACGTCTCCCTCAATCCCCAGGTCTGAATGCAGACTCATTGCAGCAGGTCTCTGGCCCTGCCTATTTCAACCATTAGCCCTGCTGGTAATCTGGAGGATTTAGGCGAACACAGCAGCAAGGCGATGAGTGTAAATGTGAATGAACACCTGATAAAAGACAACGCCTGCCATACTCCAATTCTCGTACTGCTTTCCCGACAAAAACGCTAGCTGCACCCAAACAGCTTTGCTGTATCGGCCCTGACAGGATCGCAGGGAAAAACATGCAACAAACCCCGTGGATCATGGAAACCAACACATACGACCCTTCATGAATGACTAAATACTGTGTGCCATGGGTCCGTGGACGTGGTCTCACCTATCAACGTAGGATCTCACAGCTTGGCACTGGCAGGTCTGTCTTGCCTTCGGAAAGCATGTGCAGTCATGAATAATTAAAAAGCCGGCTCTTCTCATAGGATGAGAAAACTCAGCTATGAATAATAATGAGAAACCGACCATCATCTTTGCGCTTGCAGTTTTGCGCTACGTCGCCGATTTTGATCCGCCCCAAAAAACATTTTAAACCCGGAAGCTAAAATTAGCTGACAAAAGCTCAAAATTACCCAGTTTTCCCCACAATTACAGCTAACCGGTGCTAACATTGTCTTACCTGATGCTCAACACACACTAATCTGTTAAAATCTTCAAAAAAGTACTTGAGGGTTTCGTGAACCTTTAAGTAATGCTGAAGATGCCTCAGTTCTTTTTTACATGTTTACAAAACGGCTATTTTCTTGAACCAGAAAATTACATTCATTTCCCACCATTTATTTATTTATTTGCCAGTAACTGATAAGAGGCAAATATTATGTTAGCCATCCACAATATTCATGTCTTATTTGACTTTGCACTAAATGGGTAAATAAATTGTAATAAATATAATAAATGCAGGATTATGAAGAAAGAGACGGCAGTTTGATCATTTACCTAGTGAAGTGTTTGAACACTTTTATGAATTTCTTGCTTCTGTTGAACACAAATGTTGGAATAAAGCAGCCATCGACATCCATAATAGAAACAACAAATACTATGGAAGTCAATGGTTGTCTTTTTATTATTCTTAGTGTTGAACAGAAGAAGTGGAGGACGAGAAAATGATGACAGAATTTTTATTTTTGGATGAACTATCTCTTTAATGTGAGAGCCTCAGTATGCACTATTGTCCTTGGTGAAAATATACTGTCATAATTTTGTGAATGTGATATTAATTGCACTGTTTTAAACACTACAGTGATCTACAATGATCTGAATCAGTAATTTAGCATTTTATCACTTTGGTTATAAAAGCATTTGAATTTGTGGTGGTCAAAATGAACATCAAGAATGAGAGAAATAAAGGTGTCTTGGTTATTTTATTGTGTCAAGTTTGTAAAGGTTTTACTGACAATTTGGCAGCTCAGCATCAGGATATACAGCAGTTCTGTTTGCAGCATTATAGGACAGCAGCCAGAGTTTATTATTATTTTCTATTCTGTGTACATACAGGACGACGAGCCATTAAGTTATTGGAAATAATTCACTGAGAGGTGGGGATTTGGCTTTGATGTAGAGTGGATGTACTTCTCAGAGCAATAATGATGATGATATAACAAGGGTAATTATTCATTTAGAGTAATAACACAACGTGTTTGTAATAAAATGAAAATTTACATCTCGAAATATTCCTAAAAATTTCCATTCAAGCTTATTTGTACAGCGCTTTTTACTTCCAAAGCAGCTTTATGAAAGGTGCACGCTATTACACTACTTATAGTTTAGTTGTTGTGATCAGAGTTGACAATAGAGTCAAACAAAAGCACAAACACTACAGATATAGCGTTTATCGACTACATTTATCTGAGGTGATGTGATGGCGAGCACCTGTTACTCATGTCACTATATGCCCTTAACTATGTAGAATTTTAAGGTTTAATATAAATTAATTGACGAGTTATATAAAAAACAAACTCACCCCCTGAATACCAGGCTGAATAAACAAGTTTTTTTCTGCTGTAAAGTTAGGGATTTTAATATGGGGAGTCTATGACTCTCTTTTGAAGCCAGCCAGTCGGTGAATTGCACTTTCATTCACTTCCGTATGCTACTCTGGCTTCACAGGGAGGAGACCGACGCCTGGGAAGAACAAGGTGAGCAAATACAAATCTTCTATTTCCCTGCCCGAACGCTCATTCAGAATAATACATTTTATAGTGACCAGTTCAATAAGTAATGTTAACCTAATTGTTGACGTTTTACGTGTTAACGAGATAGATTGACTTGCGAGTAGTTATGTGGTTTGACAGCCTTATCAGTTGTTAAGTTACTGTACGTCTAGATATTTGAAAGCATGTTTTAAGATATGCTGTCTTAAACTGTCCGTTTATCTCCACCAAACGTGTTAGCTTCATTTTTATGTCTTTAAATGAGTGTTCAGATGCGCAATGGTCAGTATATATTACATAATGTAGTCGCGCATAATAAGGGACCGTCGAAAAACTCCGCTCCCTGCGTTAAAACGTCGCCATTGTTTAAGCTTTAGTTCGATAAGTTTAGTTCGATATAACATGCACAAATCATACGTATGTATGCATGAATAATTCCATTAAAAAACAAATATTAATGTATTTTTTTGTGTTTTTTTCCCAGTGAAGGGTTGTGGCTGGAAGGGCATCTGCTGCATAAAAAAAAAAAAAAAAAAAACATGCTGGATAGGTTGGCGGTTCATTCCACTGTGGTGACCCCTGATTAAGAAACTAAAAAATTTTATACTTTTTGTTTAAACTTTTCTATGAATGCTATCAAAAAAAAACATATGACATTTTTTTTCTGTTGTCATATTAACACTGCGTAGAGAAAAATATGCCAACAATTCTTATAGTGTTAATTATCTTATAATAGTACTAATGTTAAATCTGTGTTGTAAAAATTAGATTCTGCGACATTAGTGATTTAATATTTGGGTCGTGTAGTTTTTCGAAATTCGGTTTCAATTCAAATAGAATTATTCTTGTTGTTGAATATTCTGTTTCACTTGTGCATGCGTATGTATCTTAAACTTTTGGGCCTGTCATGTGTCCATCTGCTAGTTATCAGTATGTGAATCCGTTGTTAAACCTGACAGTATCTGTTTTTAGATTGATCTCAGGAATTGTCCAATGTCAACCAATCAGGAAGCCCAATCAGATGAACTGCTGGCTCTGGCAAGCATATACGATGACGAAGAGTTTCACAGGACAGAATCAAGTCAGAAGGGTGAGATCCATCTGTGCCTCGAGCTTCCTCCTGACTTCAGACTGCTGATCAATGGTGAGAGTTTATGCAAGAGTTGGTTTATTGGACAGTTGTCTAGAGTGCTTGAGCTCCAGCTGGAATCTCTCTGTGCCTGCTATAAACTATGTTGTACTTTGAACAGTATTGTACTTTGAGCTGTGATGCTATTAATCATAGTGACACCAAAGGGCGTTTTTCCGGATTCAAACTCAAACAAAAGCGGTTTCCACTGGCGGCGAGCAGAAGAGTATGCGAAATCACTCCTTGACATTAGATGACGCTACACAACTTTAAGCTTTTGACACCCTCTTGTACCAGAAGAAGAAGAGAGAAAGTTCACACGCTTGTTGTTAAAGTTACTGGCGATTTCAACAAGCATGGATGGTTCAAGCAGGGGCTGTTGCTCTAGCGATGATGAAATGATTATTGTTCACCAATGCAAATAGCAGCTCCACGTTCATATCGCCTCTGGGCATCTTCTTCAATGTGCGCTCGCATTGACAGTTTTGAGCTTGAGCGCCTCCAAGTGCTGTTTACTGTAACTTCAGCTGCTCCGTACACAAAAGGGCCAGTCTGATTGGTGGAGAAGATTTTGACACGGTGCGTCAAAAAAAAAAAAATTAAACGAGCATGAGGCGCTTCTTTAGAAATGACGCTTTTTACGCCTGGCGTTTTGCCCGTTGGTGTGCACGATCAAATTGGCGTCCTTTATTTAGTCACAATGCGTTAAACTTTGACGGAAAACACGAGCAAAAAGTGTTACAGTGTGCATGGGCCTTAAAACCATAGTTGTGACTTTTGAAATTAAGAATAGTAATGTCACTTACTTCACAGACAAAATAAACTTACACAGAATTCAGATAGAAGTGCTTTATTTATAACTGGTAGTACACATTAAGTAATCAACAATCAATTGCTAAACACACACACACACACACACACGTCACAATTTTTATTAATTTATGTTGCATGTGCTCTGCAGAGTCTTCTATACAGTATGTTTTTCTGCATATGTTTCATAGGGCACACACCTGTAGAGGTGGATGTTTCCTTTTTGCCGCCCTTGGTTCTGAGTTTTGAACTACCTACAGACTATCCTTCATCATCTGCTCCAGTCTTTACTCTGAGCTCCATTTGGCTTTCAAGAGTCCAGGTCGGTCATTTTTAGCATTTTACATCATTAAAAAAGCTTTTTTTTTTAAAAAAAAACATTAGAGACATTTTTTGTTAAATCTGTGGTCCTTAGAGATTCATTACTGTCTCATGATACAAAACATTGCAAGAGACCGACCATAATTTACAAATTTTATCAAGTGTTCCCTTTAATCAATAGGTTTATCCAAGGGTTCTGATTCTGTTCTTGAAAGTCTGGAGAACTTTAAAGGGCACCTATGGTAAAAAATCTACTTTTCAAGCTGTTTGGGCAGATCTGTGTGTTGGTATAGTGTATAGACTGTCATACTGGGGTGATATGAATCCTTTTTTTTCAATTTAACTACAAAATAAGGGTCGGCCAATTGGAGCTGTTTTCAAATCGATCGCACCATTACGTAGGTGTGCGATCCCCTCGCCCACCGAATTGATTGACAGCTGCGCGCATTAACATGTTCTGGTAGTCACGTGTATATGTCAACAAGACCAGGCAGACATACGCAAAGCAACCGGGAATAAAAGCTCTGTTCTGTTCGCTAGGATCAGCAATCATCATCAAATGTGATTAAGAGTGAGTTTCACATGTTTAAAGTGTTTTAAAACAGAGTATGTGTGTAATTAATTACAGCGTTTTACTTCAGCTTTACTTCATCAGCACAGCCGCGTGTCAGAACAATCCCGGTTTGTGGAAGTTAAATCAGGTTTATTTTGTACATTAGCATAACAGATATCCACACAGTACTTGAGGTTAGCCTTAACTAAGCTAAGCGCGCTCTGTCTGTCTGCCTGCCTGTGTGTGTGTGTGTGTGTGTGTGTGCGCGGGCGCGCGTTACTTTGTAACGATATTGTGTGTGACTCCTCAATGCAACTTCACAATACTGATTAGTAAAGGTTTGTTCTTACTGTAGTATCTCACAAACGCTACGTGAGACCTTCTTCCTTTAAGTCTGTCTGTTGTCTGACGCAGCTGAGGGAGGAGGCATGTAGAAATAGTGGTCGGGAAAGAATCGGCTTAAAGGCGCAGTACAACAAAACCACCCCCTGCTGGAAATCAGTATAAAACAGCATCTTGTAAAAGGTATAATGAAAAATCTGATGGGTATTTTGATCTGAAACTTTATATACACATTCTAGAGACGCAAAAGACTTGTATTAAATCTGAAAAAAGAGGTAACCTAGGTGCCCTTTAAAACAAAAGCTTAGTGTATGTTTAGGAGACATGGGTGTTTATTTTGTCATGCCTATATGTGTTTCTTCCTCTTCAGACTTTCAAATATTTGTAATATTTGAACAAAGTTTTCGACAGTTCTGGAGTGTTTATTTTTTGTACAAATATATTCTATGCACAAACAGCAATAATATTGCCAAAAGTTTTGGCTTTACATGCACATGACCTTTAATGACAACCTAAACTTAACCTGTAGGGTTTAATATGGAGTTGACCATCTTTTGCAGCTATAACCTGAATTCAGTGGTTTAGAGCAGGGGTTCCCAAACTTTTCAGCTCGCGACCCCCAAAATAACAATGCCAGTAACTTGCGACCCCCAATATCCTCTGAGGTGGTTATGAATACAGAAACCTTGCATGCAATGGGGCGCACACACACCAATAAACCCAAGTCTATTCTTCGTTATATTTTTTTTAATGTATGTCAGTGCTGTAAATGTGCCAGAAAGTTTAACCTGGTATTATAAAATCAATCTGCTGCATCTGACGCTATTGCTGAGTCTTTAATATAATGTAATTACCTGAGGGGTCGCAATCCAATAGAACTAGTAACTATAAGCTACTATAGTAACTATATACAGTAGTGTATTTAGTAACTGTAAATGACAGTAGGTTTTTTAGTAGGTTATGGATTAAAATGGTAATTCTTATGGTTTAATAAAAATAAATAGATTTTTGGAAATCACCAGGCGACCCCCCCTTCTTTGTCCCGACCCGCACTTTGAGAACCACTGGTTTAGAGGAGTGGTCCACAACTTTTGGCAGTATTGTGTTCAATGCACACTAAAGGACACCTTTAAAACCATCAGTAACACTTTTTTCATGTTTTACACATTATTATCTTATTTTTGGAAATTATATTGACATACTGATAATGACACAATCATTAAGATAATCTCTGATCAGTTAAAACTTTGTATAATGTATAAATAGATCGCAACACTTTGCAAGAGACTGGATGAACTTTGGGAAGAGAACAGGGGCAGTGTGGTTCTTTTTACCTGGATCCAGTTCCTAAAGGAAGAGACTCTGCAGTTTCTGAACATCCAGTCTCCACTTGAGATCCAAACCAACGGTGTCCAGCCTGAGTGTGAATCTGCTGAGTGTCAAGCAGCAGCTGCTGCTGTAGAAGAGCTGGACCAGCGAGCAGTTCAAGTAGCTGATCCTCACAGTGATATATTAACCCAGCTGCTGGATTTTAATGAAGCTCAGAAGAAGAAGGTGTTTGAGGCCACAGTTTTTAACTGTGGAATTTGCTTTACTGAGAACCTGGGCTCCAGCTTTGTGCTCTTCAATGAGTGTCAGCATGTGTACTGCAAGACCTGCGTTAGGGATTACTTCGAGATCCAGATTAAAGACGGCAAAGTCCAGCTTCTTTCCTGTCCTGAGCCAGAGTGCACCTCCCCGGCTACTCCTGCACAGGTACCTTTCCTGTTTGTGTTTAAGTGTGACCTGTGGATCCACTATCCTAAGAGTTCAGCTCCAACCCTGTTTAAGCATAACTGAAGCACCTAATAAGCTTTTCTGGATCATTTGATATCAAACACTTCCAGGTTTGCTGAAGCAGGTTGGAAATAAACTTTGAAGGACAGTGGGTCCTCAGTAGCAGGGTTGAAAACAGTTTAGTTGTTTGAACAGAAGTTCAAGAAGTCTCACCATTGCACTTCTACAACAGGTGAAACTTCTCGTGAGCCAAGAAGATTTTGCCCGCTATGATCGGCTCCTCCTGCAATGGAGTCTTAACCTAATGACTGATGTGGTTTATTGCCCTCGCAAGAGCTGCAGCATGGCTGTGATGGTTGAGCCTGACCGGACCATGGGCATCTGCCCCTCATGCCAATTTGTTTTCTGCACCCTCTGCAATCGACTATACCACGCCCTCTCTCTCTGCACAAAAAGTAAGACTCCTTTCATACACATAAAAATGATTAAGTCAGTTTTAGTATTGCCATTTATGCATTTAAAAAACCTTTTTATAGAGCAAATATATATAAAGTATACAATTGTTGGTGAAAGCTGAATTAGTTAAAACTGTGGTGAAACATAAAAGAAGTTAATGATATTTGTGTTCATGCCTTGCTTAAGGTTGTGGAGAGCTTAATGCCGAGTAGTCGTCTGGTTAATCTTGTTTTTTTCTTTTGACGTAAGATTATTTTGCTTACCCCATTGGAAGATTATTTTGCTTGTTTTAAGGAAAAACTGACTTAATATTGGCATAATATTTCTCAAAACAAGGCAATATGTTTTGCTTGTTTAGAAAATTCTTCTTGATTTAGGAACTTTTAGATATTTGGACTAGAAACAAGACAAAAAATCTAAGTAAGAAAAGCATTTTTTGCAGTGTTCTTCTCATCACATCACCCCTGTCCTGCAGCAGCTTCATTGGTTACCTGTTCATTTTCAAATTGACTTTAAAATCTTGATGTTAACATTCAAAGCCATCCACAATCTCGCCCCTCCATATTTGTCTGCCCTCATCCACATCCCTCCACTTGTCTGTTCCCTCTTCTCGCCTTTCAACTATGGGCAACAGAGCATTTAGCCGCTCTGCTCCGCGGCTTTGGAACTCAATACCACCTGCCATCAGAAACATTGACTCCCTCACACTAGTCAAATCAAGACTCAAAACCCACTTATTTAAGATGGCTTTTAATACTTAATTAATAATAATAATAATAATTCCTTACATTTATAAAGCGCTTTTCTGGGCACTCAAAGCGCTTTACACACAATGGGGGGATCTCCTCATCCACCATCAGTGTGCAGCATCCACCTGGATGACACGACGGCAGCCATTTTGCGCCAGACCGCACACCACACACCAGCTGATTGGTGGAGAGGAGACAGTGATGAAGCCAATTGGAATATGGGGATGGTTAGGAGGCCATGATGGACGGAGGCCAGTGGGCAGATTTGGCCAGGATGCCGGGGTTAAACCCCTACTCTTTTCGAAGGACATCCTAGGATTTTTAACGACCACAGAGAGTCAGGACCTCGGTTTAACGTCTCATCCGAAAGACGGCGCTCACTGAGCAGTATGGCGTCTCCGTCACTATACTGGGGCATTAGGACCCACACAGACCGCAGGTTGGGCGCCCCCTGCTGGCCTCACTAACACCACTTCCGGCAGCAACCTAGCTTTCCCATGTGGTCTCCCATCCAGGTACTGACCGGGCGCAGCCCTGCTTAGCTTCAGTGGGCGACCATGTGAGAGTTGCAGAGAGCTAGCTGCCGGCCACTTAATTTTATTTGCACTATTGCTGTGTATATTTTATTATTTCTCTTGTTGTTTTATTGCTCTTGTTGATTGTACGGTGTCCTTGAGTTGCTAGAAAGGCGCCTTTAATTAAAATGTATTATTATTATTATTATTACTGAAGCAATATCCTTTATATGCACCTATGACTTTCAGATGATCACCTTTATTATGCATCTTTAATATTGTAATATTACATGTCAATTTTCTTTTTTAAATAACAACATGATTTTACTCTCTTCTACAGTAGAAGAAGAGAACGTACAACGTGTATCACAAAGAAGAATGGCAAGAAACAGAAAAAAGATAAAAAGTGGATTAAAGAAAACACTAAACAGTGTCCAAGCTGTGGCGCTAACATACAGGTCAGCAACTACTAGCTCAGAGATCTCACTTTCGTTATATAAAGATGTAATCTTGTCATGGAATTATTTTGTCCTGATTTATTAGTCAATATGAGTGGATTTTGTTTTACAGAAAGATATGGGCTGCAACAAGATGGCCTGCAGCTTCTGTCAGCAGTATTTCTGCTGGATCTGCGTTTCACCTCTCCAGACAAATGACCCTTACAGCCACTTCAGAGACGAGAACTCTCGGTGCAAGTTAACGTCTTAGGGCGTACTCGCACTATGTACAGTTGCCTTGAACCGGCCCGAAGTATGCTTGTCCTCCCTCCCGTCTCCCCAGATGGCCCGCACTCACATTACATTCGCCCGAACACACTTACGTCATCGATGATGCGCTGTTCGGTAAGAAGCGCTCACGCTCAGCTCAGAGGAGATTTCTTTAGTTATATTGTTTTAGTCGTTTGGGAAGCAGTGACACGCAGTCAAATATTTCGCCGAACAGATCAACCACTTTCGACGCTCATAAACAATCATAAATGAAGTTTATGTATAAACAAATTTCGAGAGGATCACGTGCTTATGATTGCTAGCAGCTGACCCGCATTATCTAATTCACTACGATCCAATCAGATGACTCCTAAACTACTATAAATACCCTGGGGTTTATTCCATTGCTATCTTCGTTTTGAAGAGTCCCCCCTTCCTCCCCTACTCCTTCTTCTTAGACGGTTGACACGGTGGCCTAGTGCGTAGCACTGTCGCCTCACAGCAAGAATGTCTCTGGTTCCTGGCTTTACCAAAAATGTGAGAGTTGCAGAGAGCTAGCTGTCAGCCGGACAATAGAGGAATTGTCTCCAAACTATTCTTCTTCTTCCACTTGTTTTGTCAACACAACGTAGCGTCTCTCTGCTGTATGAACACTATAACAGGTAAAAACAGTCTTCGAAGCTATCATGCGTATTAATTAAGTTGCACCTTATACACAATAGTGCGTGCTGATTGGTTTGAATCAAGTCTTTCTCATGAATTAATGCTGCGCTCACAAACGCGTCACGTTGTACTCACCAGTATAGATAGCCATTCAACATGCTGGAATACACGCAAGAATCTATTCGCCGTGATGCTTCAAAAATGAGTTTCAAACCAGAAGAACAAATTTGCTTGAAATTTTGGGGTTTCCGCCTGGATTTTGCCTACAACTTTTGTTGTAAATTCAAAAGATTGGTATTATTTTAAAGAAAACCCTTTGAATTTTAATAAAACACAATTGAAAGTGATTAAAATGATTTTATATTTTATCTGTGTTATTGTAATGATTCATCATACATTTCTGGATCCATTTGCACACTTTAATAACAGTAAAAGATCACAGGTGGAAACTCACAAACATAAGATTAAATGGGAACTTTCCAGTAGAATAGTCGAAGAGCAGGCGTGGGTCGAGGTTAGGAGAGAGTAATCTTTAACGAGAGACAGGCAGAGATTCGGGGCAGGCGGCTGGCAGATGGAATCGATATAACTACGCAGTGGTCAGGGCAGGCAGATAGCTTCAGAAACGGTAAGACAGTCCAGGTCGATACACAGATAGGCAATAAACAACAGGGTAACGCTCAAAGATGATGGCCGGGGCTAATCAAAACCTCGCACCGAGTGAAAGGATGTGTGCGTTTATATAAAGAGTCTGAAATTGGTTTCAGCTGTATGTAATCAGTCCCAGTCGAGCATTGGGGAAATTAGAACTCAGGCGATGGCTCCCTCTGGTGGTCAAACGAGGAACGTTCATGAGTGGATTTCACAACAGTTATAAATAACCCCACTAAAAAGAGCCACTTTTTTTTGTAAACTCACATTTGAAAGTGTACCTTTTAGGATCTTTGTGGTCTAGGTTGCTGTAATTAGTTTTGGTGGTTCCTGCACATGTCAGTAATCAGAAAAAAGCTAAATGTCTCTATCATAATCTATGCAAAAGTTATTCTACTCCAACGGATAAGAGAACGGAACCCCTTATGTGGGTATTGGGCCAGTACGGACCTTTAAAGTTTAAAGAATGCGGACCAGGTCACGGACCAGGTACCGGGTACACAGAGTTTAGGGGGTAGGGTGAATAGTGGCTTGGCTTATAAATGAAATAATTATACCTGTCAACATTGGGATGCGAAAATAAGGGATATGCCCACCATAATAAGGGATCCCCCATCCTTAACCCTCCCCCCTTAAAAAAATCCCCAAATTACTAAATATGTTCATTTGGAGCTGCTTCATTGTAAATAAACAGTTAAATGGTCAGTAATATGTTTTATTAATATTATTTACAAAAGCAAAAAATAAATAGTATTCATTAGCAGCAAATACATTTGCAAACAGTTCAGCTTATTAAAATTAATAGCTATTATAATGAAATAGAAACAAGCTATCAAATCTCATTAACCGTTTCTTCACTGTATAACATACACATTCTGATTAAAGAGCAACAAATGAATCTCTTATTTATTTAGATTTTTTTGTTTGATTATGTAATTTACATTAAACAACAGGTGGGATTTTAAAAATGCACACATCTAACGTTATAATGAAGGCGTTTGTCTGCTTTCCTGACTTGTTATGCTCATTTAGGATGAAATTAGTTGTGTTTGAAAAACCCCCCACCAAGATCGACATCTTTAGATGTTATTAATATTAATTATGTGTATATATCTGTTTAAACATGCACCCAAAACCCTAACTTTCATTCCACTTCAAATCGCGGGTACAGAATGCATTTGGGAAACAGCGTCTATTTTACTCTATGGAGCGCGTCAGCTGACAGTCACGCACTGCTATATGACTGTTTTGAGGATTGCATATGAAGGGGCGACGGCTTTTAAGAGCAAGGGGTGGTCCCTGGTGGCTTGGCAGTATGGGTTGCGCATAGGAAGGCTTTGCTCGTTAAAATTTTTTTGCCACCTCTTCCTCAAGACTGAAAATACAGGAGAAATACATGAATATACCTTTACGGGATGATAGCAGGATAGATCTGTAAAATACGGAAGTATCCTGGGAAAAACGGGGGGGTAACAGGTATGAAAATAATGCACTTTCCATGTAAAAAAAAAGGGCTACTGTTTATGGGCTCTGTAAACACAGGGCTCTGTTTTAATCAGTTTTGGGGGAACTGTTCCATTAAGTGATGCTGAAGCTGCTGGTGTTCTTCACATGCTTACAAAACAGGTATTTTCTTGCACTTTGTCGGTTTATGAATCATATAACCAAGAAATCGCAATTATTTCCCCACATTTATTTATTAGCTTGTAACTGATCTAATTTGTCACCCATAAACAGTACTTATGTCTTTTTTCACTTTGCACAAAATGTGGAATAAACCTCTGTTTTTGGACGGTGATGTGAATCAATGTTTTAGCGTTTTATTGCTTTGGTTATAAAAGCATTTGAATTTGTGGTGGTCAAACTGAACATTAAGAAAGACAGAAATAAAATTGTCCAATTAAGTTTCATGGTCGATTTTTTTTTTTTTTTTTTTACTGACTACATGTTTACAGGTTTGCACTACTACTGATGTGTTTTGTTAAGCTTTTAAAACATAGTTTTATACGTTTAATTATTTAAATTAATTATAAAAGCTATATAAATGCTATAATAACTGCACATTATGGATCATTTGTTAAGCATTAGCAAACACTTCACTATTTGTAACATGTCACATGTCTTGTGACTATACCCTTAATTATGTAGAATAATAAGGCTTAATTGTTAGAATGGGTATATATATATATATATATATATATATATTCTAAATACATATATATTTCTGCTGTAAAGTTAGGGATTTTATTATGGGACTCTATGGAATTGACTATTTTGAACCCAGCCTCTAGCGGCCAGTCGAGGAATTGCAGTTTCAATCACTTCCGTACTGGGCTTCACAGGGAGGAGACTGAAGCTTGGAAAGATAAAGGTGAGCAAATCTTTTATTTTCCCTGCTCAAACTCTCATTCAGAATAATACAATTTTGAAGTGACTACTGCAGTGATTATTAGTAGTTGTTAACCTAACTGTTGACATGTAAAATTTGGTGTTAACTCATTTCATTAAATTGTAGTTAGCTATGTGACTACAGTTTGACAGTTCTTTCCAATAGTTTAGTTAATTCTACATATTTGAAAGTATCGTACAATAAGTAATAGGATTTGCCGTCCTGAACTGTCTATTCATCTGCACCTAACTTGTTAGCTGCATTATTATGTCTGAATGAATGTTCAGATGCGCTATAAAGGTCAATATGTATTACATAATATATTAGCGCATAATAAGGGACCGTCAGAAAATTGCACTCGCTGCATTAAAACGTTTGCATTGTTTAATTTTTATTTCCACGAGTAATCAGTTCACATAACATGCACAAATCATAATTATCCATGCACAAGTAACTTCAATCACATTATAAATGTGATTTTGTAAAAGGGAGTATTATAAACGGGACACGGTGAAGTTGGGTAAGTTGTAACACAATGTTTAAACATTTTTACACATGCTGGCATAACATAACATATTACATTTACTGCCAAATTAACACTATATTGAGGAAAAATGTGCCCAAAATATCACCTCTATGTTCATGCATCATGTTCCATTTTCCAGTTATCAGAATTTGAATTCATTGTTCAAATCGATCTATCTGGTTTTATATTGAGCTCAGGAATGGTCCAATGTCAGCCAATCAGGAAGCCCAATCAGATGAACTGCTGGCTCTGGCAAGCATATATGATGACGAAGAGTTTCGCAGGACAGAATCAAGTCAGAAGGGTGAGATCCATCTGTGCCTCGAGCTTCCTCCTGACTTCAGACTGCTGATCAATGGTGAGAGTTTATGCAAGAGTTGGTTTATTGGACAGTTGTCTAGAGCAGTGTTTCTCAGCTGGTGGGTCGCGACGAGAACATTTTTAGTGGGTCGCGGAGTGTGTGGTTAAAAAAACAACAAAAGTTTATTTTTTAAGTTATTTTGCTTATACCGGACTTTTATTTTGAAATGTGTGCGCAACAACCGTACAGTTTGACATGTGAAATTTAATTTAATTATTGCAAGAAAAAAATGTTCAAGCGCAAGTACGAAAAAGACTTAAAGCCTCAGTGTCAAATGTAGTGAGGTGCTCTCATAAGAGAGCATGAAACCTTCTAAATTAAAACATTTAGAAACCATAAAACATGTTTTTTTAACAGTTTATTATTAACAGTATTTGTCGATTTTACTTTTTGTTAAATTACAGCAATAAAATATTGTTTATATGTAAGTCTTGGTGAATTTCTTGTATCTGTCACTACTTGTTTATGTTAACAAATAAATGCAAATGAAGTATAATTCCTAAAATTGTATTATAGTTCCTAAAAATTTGGGTCGCGGCTTGATGACCACACTGTAAAAAAAATAAATCGTAAAAAAAAGGTCAAATGACTGGCAGCTACGGCTAACAAAAACCACAAAATTACGGTAAAATTTCTTTGTTTAAATAAAGTGCAAAAACTAATAAATCTACAGATATTTTCATTAAAATATTTACAGAAAAACACTGTTATTTTACAGACTTTTCCTAGATTCCAAGTCATTTGACCTTTTTTTTACGATTTTTATTTTTTTTTACAGAGCAAGTATTTACAATTTATTTTAATTTTACGTAATTTTAAATGTACTTAAAAAACAGGAAAAAACACTAAATAATGTCAATTTTTTTGTAAAAAACTGACAAATTGCTGTCATTTGTCATTACTTATATAGTACATAAAATAGCAGTCAAGCCATTAATTTACAGATAATGTTTGTAATTTTTACGAACTTTTAAATATAAATTAAAATAACAGAAAAATTACTGTATAAATAATACTGTAATTTCCCTGTATAAAAAACAAAATTGTCAGTAATTTGTCTTTAATAATAAAGTACCTAAAATGAAAGTCAAACGGTTAATTTAGAGAGATTGGTTGTCATTTTACTAAGTTTTGAATATAATGTGAAATGACAAAAAAACGACTGTAAAAAATTTAAGGATATTTTCTGTAAAATTAGTTTTTTTTTCTTACAGTACATGTAAAAATGATGGTCCCATGGCCAAACCAGTTGAGAACCCCTGGTCTAGAGTGCTTGAGCTCCAGCTGGATTCTCTCTGTGCCTGCTATAAACTATGTTGTACTTTGAACTGTGGTACTATTAGTGACACCAAAGGGAATGTATTGTACTGTATACTGTTAGCAACAAAAGTCATAATTTGACTGAAAATACAAATAGCAACTATTTAAAGATGTTTATTCTTGTTGTTTTTAAAACAACTACACTTTTAAACTTCTTTCATTTACAGTTCACCAAGTAAAGAGTTATCAATGAAAGGAGCTGTAACTGAACTTAATGTGCACAGGAATGAACCTGACCCACTTTTCATGAGTTCATTTGAAGAAAGTTGCTAAAATGAACCATGAGCAAAATATCAATATCATTAGCCCTTTGCACATGAATTATGCATATTGAAACACAAATAATCTTGTTTTCACCTCAGAGTAAAACCGTAGTTTTGACTCATTAAATTAAGAATAGTAATGTCACTTACTCAACCCAAGCTCATTCTGGAAACGTAGCCCTGCGGACGTTTCTGGAGACCGCGATTTACGTGGCCGGAGGTATGTAAAGGCCGCGTTTGTTTTTTTTCGAGCGAACGCTGCGGGGCGGTGTGGCGCCGGTCCGCTCCTCCTCTTTGCGCTCGCCGGCCGACGGCTCGCCTCCGAGTGGAGGGCTTTCCTGATGCAATCAGTTTGTCCGCTTAGCTCACAGCGTTGCGTCGGCGGAGCGGAGGCCCTGGAGGAGGAGCCGGAGCCGGCCGCGGTGGACGACGACTGGGATCGAGTCTGGGGAACAGCAGGTTCCGGAAATCAGGTAAGACGAAAAACGGAATCCAAAAAATAAGGGCGAGAATGCGGCGGGATCCGAAAACGCGGTCGAAATCGAAGACGAGGGCTTTTGCTTTTTTTTTTCGATCTGGCGGCTTTTCGCACGAGAACGGCGCAGGCGCGAATGCCACGCGCTCCCGAGAGGCGCCCGAGACGCGAAAAAGCGCCCACAGCGGCCTCTCGCTGATCCGCGAAAACAAAAAAACGCTTGAATACGTACCTCCCGGGACGTAAATTGCGGTCCGCAGAAACGTCCGCGGGGCTACGTTTCCACAATGAGCCCGGGTTGCACTTACTTCACAGACAAAATAAACTTACACAGAATTCAGATAGAAGTGCTTTAATTATTACTTGTATTATGCATTAAGTATTTTTTAAAATCAATTGCTAAAAACTTTTAGCAAAAAAAAACTTAAAAAAAAAACTTTGGTCACACTTTACAATAAGGTTCATTAGTTAATGTTAATTAATGCATATACTAACATGAACAAACAATGAACAATACATTTACTACAGCATTTGTTCATGTTAGTTAACATTAGTAAATGAAAATACAGTTGTTCATTGTTAGTTCATGTTAACTCATGGTGCATTAACTAATGTTAACAAGCACGTACTTGGATGTTAATAATACATCAGTAAATGTTCAATTATAATTAATAAATGCTGTACATGTGTTGTTCATGATTAGTTCATGTTAGTAAATGCATTAACTAATAAACCTTATTGTAAAGTGTCACCAAAACTTTTTTATGTAATTATGAAGATCTGTTGCATGTCCTCTGCAGAGTCTTCTACACAGTATGTTTTTCTGCATATGTTTCATAGGGCAGACACGTGTAGAGGTTGATGTTTCCTTTTTGCCGCCCTTGGTTCTGAGTTTTGAACTACCCACAGACTATCCTTCATCATCTGCTCCAGTCTTTACTCTGAGCTCCATTTGGCTATCGAGAGTCCAGGTTTGTCATTTCAGCATTTTAAATTATTGAAATAGTTTTATTTTAAAGAACATTAGAGCTGTTTTTTTAGACTTTAGTTTTGATTTGGAGGGATTACCCAATTGGTTGGCAATATAGTATACAATACACACTAAAGTTAAAAGAAACCATTAGAAGTCTCGTATAACATCTTGTAGTTTTGATATAATGACACAACCATTTAGATTATCTATTCTCGATTAATACATTGTTTAATGTGTAAATAGATCACAACACTTTGCAAGAGACTGGATGAACTTTGGGAAGAGAACAGGGGCAGTGTGGTTCTTTTTACCTGGATCCAGTTCCTAAAGGAAGAGACTCTGCAGTTTCTGAACATCCAGTCTCCACTTGAGATCCAAACCAACGGTGTCCAGCCTCAGTGTGAATCTGCTGAGAGCCAAGCAGCAGCTGCTGCTGTAGAAGAGCTGGACCAGCGAGTAGTTCAAGTAGCTGATCCTCACAGTGATTTATTAACCCAGCTGCTGGATTTTAATGAAGCTCAGAAGAAGAAGGTCTTTGAGGCCACAGTTTTTACCTGTGGAATTTGCTTTTCTGAGAACCTGGGCTCTAAATGTGTGCTCTTCAAAGAGTGTCAGCATGTGTACTGCAAGACCTGCGTTAAGGAGTACTTTGAGGTCCAGATTAAAGATGGCAAAGTCCAGTTTCTCTCCTGTCCTGAGGCAGAATGCACCTCCCTGGCTACTCCTGCACAGGTACTTTTTCTTCTGTTTATCCACTGTCCTGCAGAGTTCAGCTCCAACAAAATGTAAACATAATTGAAGCAGCTTATCAGGCTTTTCAGTATAATTTGATAGCAAACACGTGCATGTGTGCTGAAGCAGGTTGGAAATATACTTTGCAGGACAGTGGGTCCCAATGAGCAGGGTTAAAGACCACTGCCTTAGCTGTTTGGACAGAAGTCTAGGTAACACCACTGCACTTCTACAACAGGTGAAACTTCTCGTGAGCCAAGAAGATTTTGCCCGCTATGATCGGCTCCTCCTGCAGTGGAGTCTGAACCTAATGACTGATGTTGTTTATTGCCCTCGTGTGAGTTGTTGCATGGCTGTGATGCTCGAACCTGACCGGACCGTGGGCATCTGCCCTTCATGCCGATTTGTTTTCTGCACCACCTGCAATCGAACATACCATGGCCTCTCCATCTGCAAAGAAAGTAAGAACAAAACATAATGTCCTTTCATCCATGTTTGTATGTGTACAGGCCATCCGACACACACTGATACATTACAGGGCCACTCAACACTCCTCTATAGAGATGAACACCCTGTTCATTCTCCTCTCTGCTGGTTTATTGAACAGTAATTGTCAAAATCAAAATAGCAACGCACCAGCAATGCGCCTCAACACGCCTCCTTTTTTAGACCAGAAAACATATGGGTGCACATATAGGGCTCTATTTTGATGGTCCATGCGCAAAACGCAAAGCGCAGGGCGCAAACGCTTTCAGGGCATGTCAGAATCCATACTTGCTTATTTACGGACGAGAAAATGTGCTTTGCGCCGTGGCGCATGGTCTAAAAGGGTTGAGTTTATTTTCTTAATGAGTTATAGGTGTGTTTTGAGAATAAACCAATCAGACTCTCATCTCCCATTTCCTTTAAGAGCCAGCTGCGTCACTCCATAAGCGCATTTGCTATTTACACGACGTAAAGTAAGTTCGCTTTCGCTTTTGCTCTCATGGATAGGGAAACCTTTACACACAGACATCAATTAGTCTAAAAATAATTAATTTCGTTTGTTAAGCGCAAAGATTCGTTTCAAAACTATTTCTAAATTCAGTTCTAATTTCCAGCAACGAATAAATGAACAATAATAACGAAGTGTGCTCAAAATACTGAGTTATTTCCAAATACACCTGCCATGCCCCATATGGTCTAAAACCTGACAGGTGGGCAAATCTAAGCTTGTTTTTAATAAAACAAATATAAATATGGATATAATAAATAATACTGCTAATAATAATAACATTATACAAAAGCAAATTGTTATGAATGAACTGAAAAAGCCTCCAGAGATGAAGAAGACATAAAAGTAGTGATTTTTCATATTTATGTAGGCTAGAAAATAATATGTTTTGTAATATTTAATCCTTTATATTTATATCAGTATTTGTTTATATATAATATATATTATAGCCTATATATAGGCCTATCTTTGATATTAAATTTTTTTCAAATGTAAAGATATTTGCCTATTGCTCTGCATCTTGTGTGTAGGCTATTATGCAGTGTGTAAGCAAGGCGCAACTCTGCGCTCGACTTTAGACCGGGTTTGTTTTGGTCTAATGAAAAATCTATTATAGTTTCTCAAAATAGCAACACACCAGCAGTGCGCCTCAGAACGCCTTCCTTTTTAGACCAGAACGCCTATGGGCGCACATATGAGCGCTAATGCATTTGCTATTTAAAGAGCGTGGCACAACGCCTCAAAACGGCTCTTGCGCCAAGCTGAAACAAGCAAACAAGTATTGCGCCTCGCCTTGTGCCACATTGGGCGTATGATATAGGGCCCATAAGCGCAAATGCATTTGCTATTTAAACAGCATGGTGCAACACGTCAAAATGACTCTTGCGTCGAGCTGAAACTAGCAAACAACAAATGCGTCGCGCCTTTCGCTGCATTGCACAGTGTGTATGATAGAGCCCTAAGAATGATCGTCTAAATGAGCTATAATGAGCCAAGTTTAAAGCAATGGGCAATAGCAGAATGTCAAATATAACATTATAATACAGTTTTAGAAATACTTGTTTGCATATATATTTCAGCATGTTTTTTTAATCTTTGCAGTCGAGCTTCGTCGGTTGAAAGAAGCCCGAGAAAAAGAGCAGAAGTTAATTGAAGAAAAAGAAAGGATTGAATATGAAAAGCAACTGGAAGAGATAGAAATGGAGGACACTTCCAGCGATGACTGGTTGATTAAAAACTGTAAACGGTGCCCGGCATGTGGGACTAACATACAGGTCAGCGTCTACTAAAACAGAACTGACACAAGAGATTATTTTGATTATACCAATTTGGCCTATTATGCATTTAAGGACCTAAACCTGTTCATCTTTTTTAAATATTGATGCTTGTAATGCAGAACTCATTTTATTCACCTTGTTTTTTTTTGTTGTTTTGTTTTTCTTATAGAGAATAGGAGGTTGTAACAAGATGATCTGCTCTTGCTGTCGACAGTATTTCTGCTGGTACTGTCTTGCAGTTCTCAATGGAACTGACACCTACCTTCACTTCAAATCCCCATGCTTTAAGCAGACAAGTGCTTGATTAATATCTGTAGTAATGCACATCCTCGAGCGTGCATAGTCATGTGTTGTGCCACAAAATCCATGTCTGTGACTTTTATTTGGGTTTACTTGTTGATTTTTATGCATGTTCTTCCTATGTTTGCGTGGGTTTACATGTAGTAGGTGAATTGGGTAAGCTAAAATGGCCGTAGTGTATGTGTAGTGTGTGCGAATGAGAATTATGGATGTTTTCCAGTGATGGGTTGCGGCTGGAAAGGCATCCGCTCCATAAAACCAAAAAGCATAGAATCACCAAGAGGCGACACCCTAGTGCAATTTGTAAAACGGCCACTAGATGGCGCGGCGGCCATTTTGGAATGAAAACTCCGATAGAGCAAAAGCAAATTATAAGTTTTTAAAATAAACTGTTAAAAGTGCTGATGATTGTGATTGTAAGTGCTGTATTGTCGTCTTTCAGGTTGTATCTCAGCTTTATTGCGTTTTTAAAATAAATTAATAAAAAACAAAGCAGCTGCTTGCCATCACGACAACAATTAGATCCAATGGACAGCCGATCACTTTTACTCCCAAATGGCAGAATCCGGGCCTGTTGCTGGGCGATGCTGTTGCAATGGAACAGCATATGCATTGGTAAAGCATATGCTGGATAAGTTAACGGTTCATTCCGCTGTGGTGACCCCAGTTTAATAAAAGGACTAAGCTTAAAAGAGATTTTATATATATATATATATATATATATATATATATATATATATATATATATATATATTAACCTTCCCCCAAATGCTGAAAAAACTTTATAGTTCCAAGGTACTGATGATAAATGGGTTTAAAGTTGCATACATTTAGAATTTTTTCTTTTTTCCACATCTCTTTCTCTTTCTTTCTTTCTTAATCGTCCTTTCTCTTTCCTTTTTTCCCCTCACCATTTACAGCAAACACTGTGCCATTGTTCAATGACAATGATCATTTTATTTACCTGTCAGAGTATGTTTGTGGCGAAATTTGATTGGTTGCTCCCATATATGTACTGACCAATGACATTTCAATTTAATTGACAAATGAAAACGAGAAGAAATCGGCTACATGACAAAATAAAGCTATTGGCAAATAGAGAGGGATAAGTCTTTGCCAAATGATATTTAAAATGGGCATTTAATTTATTATTATTAATAATAATATATAGGCCTATTAATATTAAAACATTAATTAAATAAAATGTTTCAAATGTGCATATTTATTTATACATACTATTGTATACAGTTGAAGTCAGAATTATTAGCCCCCTTTAAATTTTTTTCTTTTTTAAATATTTTCTAAATGATGTTTAACAGAGCAAGAAAAATTTTACAGTATGTCTGATAATATTTTTTCTTCTGGAGAAAGTCTTATTTGTTTTATTTCAGCTAGATTAAAAGCAGTTTTCAATTTTTTAAACACAATTTTAGGGACAAAATTATTAGCTTCTTTAAGCTGTATTTTTTCTCAATAATCTACAGAACAAACCATCGTTATACAATAACTTGCCTAATTACCCTAACCTGCCTAGTTCACCTAATTAACCTAGTTAAGCCTTTAAATGTCACTTTAAGCTGTATAGAAGTGTCTTAAAAAATATCTAGTCAAATGTTATGAACAGTTATCATGGCAAAGATAAAATAAATCAGTTATGAGAGATGAGTTATTTAAACTATTATGTTTAGAAATGTGTTTTAAAAAATTGCTCTACGGTAAACAGAAATTAGGGAAAAAATGAACAAACGGTCTAAAAATTCAGGGGGGCTAATAATTCTGACTTCAACTGTATATTTATATTTAAATGTATTGTTTGATAAAATGACAATTTTATGTCTATTTGTCCATTTAGAGTGGATTTAATATTAATGTACATTTTTATTATTTGATGAATCAACATTTTAAAACATGAATAACTGTTATATAACTGTTTATTAACCTATGCATCTAAATATATTTTAAATGTGCTGTTGTATTGCTTTGTTAAATGACATTTAGAAACAAATTATATACATTAAATGTCTTTTATTTGTCCATTTAAAATGTGATTTATTTGTATACATTTTTATGTTTCAACTATTAAATTAATCATTTGAATCTTCGTTTTATTTTTAAGTGGCACTCATGATTCTCCATAGTAAATACTTTATTTTGTGTAAAGTTATGGGTTTTATTATGGTGGAGTTTCTTTTGAAATCAGCCTCTAGCGGCCAGTCGAGGAATTGCAGTTTCAGTCACTTCCTTATTGGCTTCACTGGGGATACCGGCAGGAGACTGACGCCTGGGAAGAGCAAGGTGAGCAAATCTTTAAATTTTCCTGGCCGAATGCTAATTCAGAATAATAAAAGTTTGAAGTGAACACTTCAGTTATTATTTAGCATGGTTGGTAACATATTTGTTGACATGTATGTGTTAACGCCTTTCATTTAAAGTTATTATGTAGTTGGTTGGCTATTTGTTATAGTTATAAAGTCTTCATACTTGACAACATGTTGTATTAGGATATGGTCCCCTGAACAGTCCATTAATGTTTGTCTTAACACCAAACTTGTTGTTAGCTGCATTTTGCTGTCTTTGTTTGAATGTTCAGATGCGCTGTAATGGTCAGTGTGTATTACATAATATATTCGCGCATGATAAGGGACCGTCGGAAAATTCCACTCATTGCGTTAAAACGTCGGGAATGGCTAATTTTTATTTAGACTTGTAATAATCAGTGCAAATAACTTGAACAAATCACATTCAGACATATATTATTAATAACAATTAAAAGTCACAATAAATGTTTTAGAAAGGACACAAAGTAATTATTGATTTACATAGCCTGTGTATATTTGTCAGTACTTCTATTATGTTAAATTAATGCAAGGGTGTAACACATTGTTTAAACATTTCTACACATGCTAGCATAATAAAAACCGTCCCGGTGTGTACAAGCCTTAAACATTTACTCAAGGGAAAGTAAAAGTACACATCCTTAAAACTACTTAGTAAATTACAGTAGTTTGAGTATTTGTAATTTGTTACTTTACACCGCTGTGCATATCTAGAACCCTTCGTGGATTCATTCTATTGTTAAGTGTGACGTCACGCGAAGCGGCTTCCAGGTCCAAACGCTCTATACAATTAATATTAATATTAATTGGAAAGCTACCTGGTCAATACCCTTTAAATTTTGCCTTTTAAATAAGGTTAAAGAAGTGCACTTTAAAATACTACACAAAATGTATCCTTGCAAAGCAACTTTATCTAAATTCATGGATATTAAGAGTACTTGCACATTTTGTAATATACATGAGGAAGACTTATATCATCTTTTCTATAACTGTGATGCCTCTCTTAAATTTTGGAATGATGTTAGTGACGTGTTATTTGGGCAAAGAAATGTTAATTACAGGCTATCTTTAAAAGATGTTATTTGCACTTTTTCACACACAAAAAGAACATTCGAGTATGTTGTTAACGTCTACATTTTACAAGGTAAATATTTTATACATAAACAGAAATTTGCGAAGTGTATACCAAAATGTAATATTATTTTATTAGAAATGAAAAATCTGAAAAAGTCTCTAATGCAAATTAAAAACAAAAAGAATGATTTGATGTTAGATTTCATGAAGGAATTTTTTTTCTAGTTCTGATCCCCCGCTGTAGTCGATGATTGTATCCTAAGTTATTATTTTAGTTTATATGTATAGAAGTATTTTGTAATATTTTTATTTTTTTATCTTAATTATTAATTTTTTTTTTTTGCAATTTTTTATAATTTTTTTTCTCCTGTTATGTTTTTGCTTCATTATCATTTCTGGTTGTTGTTGTTGTAACTATAGTAATGTTTATGGATATAGCATATATCTGAATCATTGTATTATTACTTTATGTATTGTTTCAAAACTATAATAAAAAAAAAATAAAAAAAGCGCTCTATTCAACTGAATGGGGAGACTCATGAAATGGTAAAATAAACGTTTACAAAGCGATTTAATACTTAAGAAAATCACGATCGCAATATATATGTCCATGCCTAATATCTGATGGCCAGAAAGTGATTATTTTTTTATAAATTGTTAAATTTTTGGTATTTGTTATGCAGCAAGCCCAGAGATTGTTGTGTACACTATGATTTTATATAAAATTAACTTTAATGTGTGATAGGAATAAAACGTGATCATAAACGAATGATTTCTCCACTCAAATGAATGGCGGCTTGAACCCGGAAACAGTATTACATACGTCACCAACACGTCACCACTTAACAAGCGGATACAAAGTAAGAAAGTCAAAAAGGGCTAGATGTGCTTCACACTACTCATTTTGAGTTAACATCAGTAAATTGAAACTTTTTTTTTAAATGTATTTTTTACTTTTCATAAAATGACTTTGTACCGACTACATATTTAGTTATATTTACTTTGCATTCAATTATACTTGTATTACAAATACATATTTTGATCGCAAACTTCAGTCTATATATCTGAACTGGCAGACATATATCTATCTTCCAGTTATCAGAATTTAAATTCATTGTTAAAATTGTCAGCATATGCTCTTACTGTATATTGAGCTCAGGAATGGTCCAATGTCAGACAATCAGGAAGCCCAATCAGATGAACTGCTGGCTCTGGCAAGCATATACGATGAAGAAGAGTTTCACAGGACAGAATCAAGTCAGAAGGGTGAGATCCATCTGTGCCTCGAGCTTCCTCCTGACTTCAGACTGCTGATAAAGGGTAAGAGTTTATGCAAGAGTTGGTTTATTGGACAGTTGTCTAGAGTGCTCGAGCTCCAGCTGGAGTCTCTCTTTGTCTGCTATGAACTATGTTGTACTTGAAACTGTATTGTACTTTAAATTGTGATGCCATTATTCAAAATGATAAATATCATTAGAAGTAACATGAATTATTTGTATTAAACTAAAAATGGTGTTTTTACCATGCAGTTAAGCCTATATGGTGAAATTCTTTAAGGTAAATTCGAAATTGTGATAGAAATGTCACTTCATGAACAAAACAAAATTACACCGCATCCAGTGCTGTACCTTTAACTTGCAGTGCACATTCAGGGTTTTATTTTTAATCACAATCAATTCGTAAAAAAATAGGTTGCATGTGCACTACATAGTCTTCATGAATATGTTTTTCTGCATATGTTTCATAGGGCAGACACGTGTAGAGGTGGATGTTTCCTATTTGCCGCCCTTGGTTCTGAGTTTTGAACTACCCACAGACTATCCTTCATCATCTGCTCCAGTCTTTACTCTGAGCTCCATTTGGCTATCGAGAGTCCAGGTTTGTCATTTTTAGCATTTTGAATGATCAGATGTTTTTACATTATCACCATACTTGGTCATGCCATGACATTCTATTCCGTTTTATTGATTTCCTTGAATTCACTGAGTTCCTGAGAGCAAATCATTCCATCAAAAATGTTTGTAGAAGCTTTTGCATGCCTAGGTTTTATACTCTAGTGACCATAGAAGGGCTTAAAACACCTGAATTTAGTGACTTAAAGGAGTGCCCCAAACTTTTGGCAATATAGGTTTTAATACACATTAAGGGCTCTATTTTGACGGTCCATGCGCAGAGCGCAAAACGCAGGGCACAAATGCTTTCAGGGCGTGTCAGGACGCGTTTTTGCTAATTTAAGGACGGGAAATCTGCCTTGCGCCACGGCGCATGTTCTAAAAGGGTTGAGTTTATTTTCTTAATGAGTTATAGGGGTGTTTTGAGAATAAACCAATTAGAATCTTATCTCCCATTACCTTTAAGACCCAGCTGCGTCACGCCAAGAGCGCATTCGCCATTTACAGGACGCAAAGTAAGTCTAAGTGGAAAAAATGAGCATTTCACTAGCAAACAGTAAACAGTTAACAGTTTTTAACAGAAAACAGTTAAACAGAGCATCTACTGCGTGAGAATGAGAGATAATGGATCACTTTCACATTCGCTCTTGGATAGGGAAACCTTTACGCGCAGACATCAATTAGCCTATAAATAATTAATTTCGTTTGTTAAGCGCAAAGATTCGTTTCAAAACTATTTCTAAATTCAGTTCTAATTTCCAGCAAACGAATAAATGAACAATAATAACAAAGTGTGTTCAAAAACCTGAGTTCTATCCTAAAACACATGCTGTGCCCCATATGGTCTAAAACCTGACAGGTGGGCAAATCTAAGCTTGTTTTTAATAAAACAAACACAAATATGGATATAATAAATAATACTGCTAATAATATTAACATCATACAAAAGCAAATTGTTATGAATGAACTGAAAAAGCCTCCCGAGATGAAGAAGACATAAAAGCAGTGATTTTTCATGTTTCTGTAGGCTAGAAAATAATATGTTTTGTAATATTTTAATCCTTTATATTTATATTCTGTATCTATTCTTATAATATCCTATATATATCCTTACTATTTACATTTTTTCATATGTAAAGATATTTGCCTATTGCTCTCTTGTGTGTATTAAGCAGTGTGTAAGCGAGGCGCGACTCTGCACCGGAGTTTAGACCGGGTTAGATTTGGTCTAATGAAAAATCTATTACAGTTTCTTAAAATAGCAACGCGCCAGCGGTCCGCCTCAGAACGCCTTCCTTTTTAGACCAGAACGCCTATGAGCGCACAAATGAGCGCTAATGCATTTGCTATTTAAACAGCGTAGCGCAACGCCTCAAAACCACTCTTGCGCCAAGCTGAAACTACCAAAAGACTATTGCGCCGCGCCTTGCGCCACACTGCGCCGGGTGTATGATAGGGCCCAATATCTAAAGCACAATGTCACATCTTATATAATTTTAACGATTATTCTGTCTTTTTGGACATTATATTGACATAATGATAATTACACAACCATTCAGATGACCTCTGCTCAGTTAATATATTGTTTATTGTATAAATAGATCGCAACACTTTGCAAGAGACTGGATGAACTTTGGGAAGAGAACAGGGGCAGTGTGGTTCTTTTTACCTGGATCCAGTTCCTAAAGGAAGAGACTCTGCAGTTTCTGAACATCCAGTCTCCACTTGAGATCCAAACCAATGGTGTCCAGCCTCAGTGTGAATCTGCTGAGAGCCAAGCAGCAGCTGCTGCTGTAGAAGAGCTGGACCAGCGAGCAGTTCAAGTAGCTGATCCTCACAGTGATATATTAACCCAGCTGCTGGATTTTAATGAAGCTCAGAAGAAGAAGGTGTTTGAGGCCACAGTTTTTAGCTGTAAAATTTGTTTTTCTGAGAACCTGGGCTCCAAATGTGTGCTCTTCAAAGAGTGTCAGCATGTGTACTGCAAGACCTGCGTGGAGGAGTACTTCAAGATCCTGATTAAAAATGGTGAAGTGCAGTTTCTTTCCTGTCCTGAGCCAGAGTGCACCTCCCTGGCTACTCCTGCACAGGTACTTTTTTGTTTGTGTTTGTGCCATTGTAAAACCTGGAGACCCGCCAGTGGCGTAGCGGACAGGCCCGCGGGGGGGCCCTGCGGTATTAGGGGGCCCTGCGTCGTTGCGATTTTCAATAATTGAAAATCTGGCAATCGCAATAATCAAACCCCTGGGAACAACTGTGGTCGGAACCAAAGTTCACAGGTCTGTGTTCTCTGAACTCCTTTCAAACGGTGGACTACTTCATTCTGATTGCTTGCTGCCAAACCGCGTCATAGCTCATTACCATAAAGTTGACTTGATTTCAAGTCCTCCTCGACGCCCACACCGGAAAAGACCCGCCACGCTGCTCATCGCCACCGGTTCTCATTGAAAATGAATGACTTCCGGCTACTTTGACGCTCTCGCCGCTTGTTTGTGAACGCTACCCCACGTCGTCGCTCCACCCCGCCCCCCTTTCCCGCTCCTTAGTTTGTGAAGGCTTCCCCGCAATGTCACTCCACTTCCCGCTCCTCAATTTATGATCGCTCCCTTGCGTCGTCGCTCCACCGACTCTCCCCGTCCCCTCAGTTTGTGATCTCTCCACCCCCCCCTTTCATCAGGGGGCCCCCTCAGTGATCCCTGCAGGGGGGCCCCCACATTTTGCGCTACGCCACTGAGACCCACTATCCTGCAGAGTTCAACTCCAACTGTAATTAAACATACCTGAAGCAGGTTGTAAATAATCTTTGCAGGACAGTGGGTCCCAAGAAATAGGGTTACAGAGCTGCCTTAGCTGTTTGAACAAAAGTTTAACTAACACCACTGCACTTCTACAACAGGTGAAACTTCTCGTGAGTGAAGAAGATTTTGCCCGCTATGATCGGCTCCTCCTGCAGTGGAGTCTGAACCTAATGACTGATGTTGTTTATTGCCCTCGTGTGACTTGTTGCATGGCTGTGATGCTCGAGTCTGACCGGACCGTGGGCATCTGCCCCTCATGCCAATTCGTTTTCTGCACCACCTGCAAACGAACATACCATGGCCTCTCCATCTGCAAAGAAAGTAAGATCACACTGAAATGTCCTTTTATCCATGTTTGTGTGTGTGTGTGCAAATGGCTTTTGTTAAGATATGGTTAAGTGCTTCTTGAAAGTCTTTAACTTCAACAAGCAGTTTGGTTTAAGGCTCATTTAAGACTCATTTGATTAGTCTCTGGCTCCAAACCAGCACGCAAACTGCCTTGGTGCTAACAATTATGTGCTTGCATACACAGTCAGGTCTAACAAGAAAAGTTGGATTACATCAAAATTTGCTGAACAGTACTGAACTGTACCGCTCAGTGGAAACGAGAGTGAATCTGTGTCTCATTCAGCTCATCTGCAGTCTCCTTCAGATGTTTTATGTTGTAGTTTACAAAAATCTTAAGTCAAACCATTCTTTTTTTTTCGCTTAAAATTTCGACATCACACAGTCAAATCTAATCATTAGTTGAGTGAATTGTTACATCCTTAATTCAGTGATTGTGTCCCAATTCAGAAATGTTTTGCTCATACTGTATGTGACGGATCAGGGAAGGACAGCGAAGGCGGACTGATCCAAGGGCAATGCATGTTTCACATTGTCCACAGCCTAAGATTTTTACTGCTGGCACCATTGAAACCGGCATTTGTCATTGGCACCAGTGACTAAAGATTTGGCTATAGCAGCCTGACCATAAATATTGACCTGTGGAGCTCCCAAAGAAACAGTTTTGGTGGAAGCAGAAGAGTTGTGTCAGGATTTTGCCCCATGTTATTTTAGTTTTTTCCTTTTTCTGATTTGGGGTTGTATATTATATTATATTATATTATATTATATTATATTATATTATATTATATTATATTATATTATATTATATTATATTTTACAGTTGTAAAAATATACTTTTACATACAGTACATGTTTCAGCATGTTTTTTAATCTTCTTTTGCAGTTCAGCTTCGCATGTTGAAAGAAGCCAGAGAAAAAGAGCAAGAGTTACTTGAAGAAAAAGAAAGGGTTGACTATGAAAAGCGGCTGGAAGAGATAGAAACGGAGGAGACTTTAAGTGAAGACTGGGTGACGAAAAACTGTAAACAGTGTCCGATCTGTCGCACTAACATAGAGGTCAGCATATACTATAACAGAATTGATAAAAGTTTAAATGCATGTTTTGGTTTTAAAGAGATCCCATTATGTTTTTAATCAGTCACACTTTATTTTTGATGGTCCGTTTATAGAATTTAAGTTACACTGCAACTAATTCTCATTAGATTATAGGTAGACTGGTTGGGGTTAGAGTTAAGATGAGTTGACATGTATTTGCAAAGGTTCTTATAGTCAGTTAAATGTCTGTTTAGCAGCAGTATCAACAGATATTCAGCAGTCTACTAATACCCAAATGGACCTTCAAAATAAAGGGTTACCTTTTAATCAAATGACTAACAAATCCAAAAACAGACAAGGGCAAATCATATGTAAAATGTCATATTTATGCATTTGCATAATAATGTTTATTGATTTAGTTGAGAAAATACATACAGAAACATGAGTAGTTTTAAGAAATAGTTCACCAAAAATATATTGTATTGTGTTTAAGAGAAGAAAGAAATTCATGAAAGTTTAGAACCACTAGAGTGTGAGGAAATATTGAGGAACTGTTCACTTTTGGGTGAACTATATCGTTTGTTTTCCTTATTTATATTTTTACCCTTTTTATCAACTAACTTAAAGGTGCAGTAGGTGATTGTCTTCAGAAATGTTTTTTGTTGTGCTGGTTAAAAGTCTCTTCACATTCCAATAGTAATGATTAAAGTAAATGATCTAAATGTGTTTATATGTATTTTTATATTCTGGGTAAGGCAGACGACTAAAAAATGTTCATCCAATTAATTATTGTTGGGCCGATAATTCCCATAAATCTGATAAGTAGCCCAAACTGTCTGTCAGCAAATGTAGATTTGTACAACTGCGTACCTGTTTATGCAGATCTGCCGTTTGCTTGTGCACGCACATTCACATGCACACAAGAGAGCGACAGCGGGAAAAACAAATGCTGAATCAAAACTTTTTAGAGTCCTGAATCAATATTGGAGTTACTTTTGAGCGCTAGAGGAAGGACGACACCATGGCTGAAGTATTTCTTTTAGACAGTTAATGTTCTGTTTTAAAACTATTTTAGTCACACAAAGCTGGTTGTTTTTTGCTAATGGGTTATATGCACAGAAGTGTTGTTCAGCCACTGAAATCCTCCGGCGATAGATTGATTTGACTATTTTTAGTTTTATAATGTTCCTTTTGCAGCATCGATAATGTAGATGTTTAATTAGTTTAACAACAAAACATCAGTAGAATTTGCTATTGCTTCTAGCCTGCTTTACTGAGCTAAAGTTGCTATTATATTCACATTGGTTCATTTTTGAACAATGATAGTCTGGGAAACACTCCCTATATTGTTCACCATACTGCTCTGAATATTCGCTCTGAAATAGCATGTAGGTATGGTTTAGTAATAAATGTGATTCCTGCACGCCGCCGGCCAACCACTAAGCATACAGTAGTTGCTTTATGACAAAGCGCATCAGAGAGTGAGACCAGCGATCCTTGCATGCATGAAATATTGCACATTATGACAAGTTTTGCTTGCTATACAACTTAAAACGTGTTAGATATGATACAGTTTTTCGTTCAGAATTATAGTATTATTGAAGTACTATAAAGTTTTCTAACTGGCAAATGATATGATAGTGCAACCCAGGCTCATTTTGAAAATGTGGTCCCATGGATGTTTCTGGAGATTGCTAAATATGTCCCGGGAGGTACGTATTTTTGTTGTTTTTGTTTTCGCAAATCCGCGAGAGGCCGCTGTGTGCGCTTTTCGCATCTCAAATGCCTCTCGCCTGTGCCATTCGCGCCCGCATTGTTCTCGCGTAAACCTACCAGAGGCCACTGTCGACCGACCGTATGTCTGACTGACTGGACGGCCGACCGGCCAATCGACTGAGACATCCTCCTCCTTCCCTAAAACAAACCAATTTTATCGATTGACCTGCCCACCCGGTCTTTCCCTAAACCCAACCGACAATTTACAAAAGCAGTCCAGAAAAAGAAAAGCCCTCGTCTGATTTTTACCACGTTGTCGGATATTAGCACATGCTCACCCTGTTGTTCACTTGTTCGTTTTATTTTTTGGATTCTGTTTTTGTCTTACCTGATTTCTGGAATCGCTCTTCCCCGGGCTCAAACCTAGTCTTCATGTTGAACTCCTCTCTGTGTCTCATGTTCGTCGCCATAAACGACGAGCCAACTGGACAAACTTGTTGCAGCGGGAAAGCCCTCCACACGGAGGTAAGCAGTCAGCTGGTTAGCGTGAAAAGGAACGGCTTCATACCGCCCCATAGCGTTCGCTTAAAAAAATTAAATGCAGCCATACGTAACTCTCGCAACATAATTTGCGTTCTCCGAAAACATACGCGGGACTATGTTTTCAAAATGAGCCTGTGTTGCAACCTTATAGTGGGTTGTTTGCTGTTTTTGCTATCTTTAAGGTGCATATTCGTGATTTCAGGAGTCATGGCTTTGGATGGGACGGATTGTGTTTCAAAAATATTATGCTAATGGTTAGCACTTTGGGAGATCACCTACCGCACATTTAAATGACTTTCAATAATAGTAATAATCCTAATTTTGATTCGGAGGAACTATAATAAAATTACATCCAGTTCCGGTCTCTCTAAACCTAATCTTTGATGTTTAATTGAATTGCTAATAATAAGGCTAATGCAGAACCCCTTCATTCACCTTTTGTTGTTTTTTAACAGAAATCGGATGGCTGTAATAAGATGACCTGCTTTTCATGCCATGCGTATTTCTGCTGGCTCTGTCTTGCAGTTCTCGGTGGAAAAGACCCCTACCTTCACTTCAGAGATTTAGAGTCTCCATGTTATAACCAGCAAGGTCCTTGATTATGCACAGAGCATAGTCATGTTATGAGAGAGAGAGTTTTATTCAATTCAAGTCATGTTTATTTATCTAGCACTTTTACTATGTAGATTGTGTCAAAGTAGCTTAACATAGAGTCCAGATTTCAGAGTTGAAGTTCAGTTCAGTTCATTTCAGTGTGGTTTAATTTTCACTGCTGAAAGTCCAAACACTAAAGAGCAAATCCATCAATGTGCAGCTCCACAAGTCCCAAACCAAGCAAGCCAGTGACGAGGAACATACTTCACCAATTGACGAAGTAAACGGAAAAAAACCTTGAGAGAAACCAGGCTCTGTTGGGCACCATTATTAATTTAGTTTAGTTTAGTTATGGTATTATTGGGGTCACACTTCACAATAAGATTCCATTGGTTCATTTTAGTTAATGTATTTATTAATATGAAATAAAAGTGTAATTTATCTTATGGAAGCTTATGGACCCTTTTCACATGTCAGGGTTTTCTCAGTAGCGGAAGTCGTCATACACAGAATGCAGTAATTGGGAGAGTATGTGATTTTATTTGATTTTTTAAAATCTTATTTGCTGAAATAATAAAAGATAAACTCCACGATGGGGTCATCAAGACCTTCATAAGAAAAAAAAATTGTGTGAGATTAATAATGACAGCCAAAAGAGAAAACAATGTCAAATTTATTGTCCTGTCCTCTGTTAGAAACACCTAACATAAGCGATAATGAGTTTTTTTTTTTGGTGAAAAAGTAATATAATACATACATAAATGCATTTAAATGTGCATACATTTATTTAAAAAATCTAAATATTAAAAAGATTCAAGGATTTAAGATGCTGATGACTGTTAAATGTATCATAACAGTCTTGTAAAAAGGGTAAATTGTAAGGTGTTTCCATTATTGTTTGTAACTCAAACCGATTGCTGTTTCTGGTTACTTTTAATTTGTGAATTATTATCAATGTTTTTCTCATTAAATCATCAAATTTAATTAATGTTTACGAACTAATTTTAAGTAGGACAAAGCATAAAATTTGTGTTTGTAGTTTTGAGCTGCTGTTTTGAGTCATTCCTAAGCGCATTCAGAATCAGCTTTTCAGCGTTTAATTTGAATTCTAATCATGTATTCTAATTTATGTTTATTATTATAAAATGTGATAAAGGGAAAGTATTGATTAAAAACTTAATTTTTAGTTGAGTGAATTGTCATAATTTAACATTTTTTACAATCAGATCTTTTATTTCTGCCTGCAATTGTTTATTTATTAGGTAGCCTATTTATTTAATTTATTAACCATTTTTGTAGATTTAGACAAATCTATATAGCACATTAGAGCTGGGTGCTAATTCACATGTCCTGATTCGATTTAATTCTGATCCTGATTCTTTCATTAAAAACAAAACAAAAAAACAAACAAAGAACTAAATTTAATTAAATTCTAGAAATATTTTAGCAACTTTTTGCCTAGATCGACCCGTAATGTACATTTTGACATGAAAATCTCTGATCTGCAGTACATTTTAAACGGGTAAATAAGATCCTGAACATAAACAAAGATCTGCATTACCTTAATAAATCTTTATCTTTAATCTAAATACAGTTAATATTTTCCACTAGTTTACCTCAGCAATCGGAAAAATAGAAACACATTAGAAAAGCTGTTAAAAGCACTTTATCACTTGCACTTTTTTAGTTCATGTACACCAAGTAGCATTCACATTTTACCTGTTTATTTATTCACTCTTAAGCAATCAGATGCATAAATCTGTTCCCTTTTTACAATATTTCTCTGTTCAATAGCACTTTGCAAAAAAACGTGTACAAGATCCTAAACATTTAAACGATTTTTCAAATTAAAAAAAATTTTTGGAAGCATTATTATGCATGTATTTCTGTTAGTGTTGGGGTACTCGAACTCGAGTCCGGACTCGAGTCCAGTTTTTATTGGACTCGGACTTGCCACGGACTTGGGGAAACTTTTACTCGGACTTGACTCGGACTTGGACATTTTGGACTCGGAAAATATCACGAGTCCAGTCGAGTGCACATCATTCACAACACAAATAAAGACATTAAAAATTAATAAATAACAGCATGAAACTATAACAAGAATTTAGCGATCTCTCTGGCTGCATGCCAGCTTTTATTTACGGCACCGCACCATACCAGCAGGCAGCAGCAGCACGTCATCACCTTAAACGTGTAACCAGAAATAGCCATATATCACACAATGCGTGGTTTAGGACAATATTATAATGTCTTTAAAATCAGCAATAATTTGTCTTCTACCGACATGTTGAAAGAAAACAAAGAGAGGTAAGAGCTTATTTACTTGAATTGTACATTCATATCGTAGGGATGATGTTAAAACATACTGGCGATATTGTTTTGTTGTTTATATTGGTGTCAATATATCCGCAAATAACTGTCAGATTCAAAGTTTTGCGCTTTGGCTCTGAGCCAGAGAAATATGCGTTCAGCGCTTGAATTAGGCCAGGGCTTCTCAAATCCGGACTCCGTAATATTCAGTTTTCCTGTGTGACTCTTGTAAAGACATTCCGCTATCATCCCGATTTATTTTCCAATTTATCCCCCTTATGCTTAATCTTTCTATGAAAAGTGAAAGTACCGTCAACACAGCGATCTCAAATGCGATAGAGCAAGAGCTGTTCAAGAGAATTGTGCTTTCGCTTTATTTTGGCTTAAAAGCGCGTTAAAACGAATATAAAAATGTCTGCATTCACTTTCTTTCATTAAAGATGTGCGTCGATCATCACATTTCTGAATCAGTGTAACCTATACATGCTGACTGACGGACGCGTTCCGTATAATAAACTCATCCCAGATCCCAGATCAGCTTCTGCTTTTGAGGATGGGTTAGGAGAGTATAAAGATTGTGTAAAATTACAGTAATTAAATGATGGTTTAGCAAAAATGTTGTAATAATGTTGCTTGGAGTTGCATATTAAGTCAATATAAGCACTAATGACTTTAATGTAGAGTTATATTCAAATCCAGACAACATTCAGAATGGATAATCACTGGACTAAGTCCACAAACTCAAGCAATAATATAATATTTTTAAAGATAGAATGAGGTTTGACTTTGAATTTGTGTAAAAATTAATATTCAGTGTAAGAATTGAAATATTGCAAATATTCTGATGTCTTTGACAATTCAAAACATGAGCTGAAAACAGAGACTGGTAACTTCACAACTCAGCAAGGGGAATGCGGGAAAAACCAGTTCCTGCTGCATTTGCATCTGAGTCTGCTTCATCCCCCCAACTCACACATATGGTCATTTCAATGTTTGAATGTTCTAGAATTAACCAAACTGACTTTAACTATCATGTTTGATATCATTTGAAATGTCTCAGTGCGATTGGTACAATGGTCTCATTCTCTCAGAAATAGACATAATCAGAACAATAAATATATAACTTCAGGCATCTTTTGATCCACTGTGAGGGGTGTGACACTAAGTGTGAATGCCTTTTGTTATACATTCACACCCCCTTCCTTGAGGGAATTCTTGGATTATTTAAGGTAAGGCCTAAGAAGGACTCAGGGCGATTCTGCCTAACCAGATCAGCCCATAACATGGCTAGCTCCATGTTATGTATATTTCAAAGTCAGGAATGCATCTTTTTCATCTTGGAGTTATCTTTGATAATTTGATGTTTTGTATTGATCGTTTATGAATTGACTAATTGAATTGGCATAATACATTTACCTGACTAATAAATTGTTATGTTTTGAATGATTCAAACAGAGTTCGTGTTATTATCACTGATAAATGTTGTTGTCCATAGCACTACAAGCCACTGTACAGGTTAGTAACGGACTAAAACATGTTAGACGGAGCAGCGTGGCACGCTATTCAATGTTGTTAGAGATCCGACTAACAAATTGGCATTTATTCATGTATACTTGGACTGTAAAAGGCCAACTATTTAGAACAACAAAATATTGTTGAAACTACTTTAAATGTGGATATTTAGGCCTTCATCTACAATAGTATAATCCTGCGTGATTATTATTAAAATACTTTGTCTTGATTAAGTAGATAACAGATCCATGGGGACCACATAAAAATCTCCTAAATTGAGTAAGTAGTGTTCTGCCTTTTTAGGAGAGTGGTTAATCGCCTCTGTTTAATGACCAAGACTGACAAGCTTGTATTAAGAGATTGTATACCCGGCCGGTGCAAGACTCGAGATGCTATCGGAATCTGAGTAAATGAGAATAAGGTATAATAACAAATCAAAAGAATATTCAATCATGATCTAAAATAATGTGAAAGGAAACAAAATAATCTTCTCAATGTTTTATAATTGGAGTCAGATAAAACGAGGATAAATATATTAATATTCTAAACCATCTCATACTAAAATTGGAGTCAGATATGAGTTAAGTTTAATATAAATCAACATTGTGCACTGGAAAGACCGAACATGCAGTGAACCTTCATCCACCATTGGATACCGTCATTGGACCAACTGTGTGGACCCTACATTCAGGTAATATTTTGATGAGAGACATCGGAGAGATTAGGGGTGCCTGTGTCCACAATTTGAGTCTTCTGTGTGAGAATAAACATTACTGATTGTGAGCAGCAGTATATATCTGCCCTACATGTTGAATATGCAAGAGAGAATCTGATAATGACACATTCTGATTCTATTTATATGTAGTCAATGACAGAGTGCAAGAATATGTGTATTGCACAATTAATTATCTCAATTGTTTCATTTTAAAATGATTCAGAATTATGCATAGTTGTATGCTGATGTCATCATCACTGTCTTTTGAACTGAGGACCAGGACTATGACCTATATCCTCAAAAGCCCCCCACCTCTCCATATATATATATATATATATATATATATATATATATATATATATATATATATATATATATATATATATATATAATTATTATTATACAATTAATATTCTAAATAAATAACAGAAATTTGTCCTAAATGTAACTGGAACACAAAGACACAACTGGAGTGATTTATTAAGATCATTTGAGAAGTCTTTTGCAAGAATATTAATTTAATTTGACAATTCCATAAGAAACAAAAATATATGTTTTATAGAATTATCTGTGGGCTGCACGGTAGCGCAGTGAGTAGCACTGTCGCCTTACAGCAAGAAGGTCGCTGGTTCGAGCTACGGCTGGGTCAGTTGATGTTTTTGTGTGGAGTTTGCATGTTCTCATCGTGTTGGCGTGGGTTTTCTCCGGGAGCTCCGGTTTCCCCCACAATCCAAAAACTATAGGTGAATTGATGAATTAAATTGGCCATAGCATATGAATGGAAAGGCCTCTGCTGTGTAAAACATGCTGGATAAGTTGGCGGTTCATTCCGCTGTGGCGACCCCTGATTACTAAAGGGACTAAGTCGAAAAGAAAATAAATGAATGAATGATTGAATGAGAATTATCTGTTGTCTTTTTAGACCTGATTTGTGAACTGTTTTAGGCCTAATACCTGCCAGACTCTTCATCCTTCTTTTCTGCTTCATAGCATGTTTAGTTAAAATAAGATCAGCATCATATTGTTTTAATTTTTGTTTTGTCCAGTTGCAAAACTTACACAGGTTTCACAATACATAATCGCTGCATATTTTTTCAAGGTGTCCCAGAGTTGCAAAAACTTGTGTTTGGAATGTGTTTGGAATGTACACTTGCTTTATTAAAATGAAAGAATGTCCAAGACAAAGCTAATAAGTTTCTTATGAGTATATGTACACTAGCAGTGGAATTTACTGGAATTCACCTAAAATCTTGCCTAGGGGTCCGTTCTTCGTACCTCGCTTAAATGATCTAAGATGATTTGGCAGATCCTGGATCTTTTAATCTTGATAACTGATCTCTCGCTAATTTGGTTCTCCAAACAAGTTCGCGAATCAGATTAGAATATCTGGATGAACTGATCTGAGATCGCTGCGTTTGTTGTTAAGGACAGATCTATCGATCCTCGAAATCATGATCAGCAATGCAGCGATTGGCTGACGGCACAGCAGCGTAATGACATCATCTGATTAATATTCAATTATCCATGTGAGCAAAATTACATCAAATTAGCAGTAAACGGCTTGTTAAATATGACACGCAGTAACTTCACATTTGTTGTGAGCTGCAGGCTTTACACTTTCATTTGTCAAGACAAGAGTATTTATCATGTATTTCAATGCAAATCAATGTATTTAGTTCTTCATTTAGAAAAGATTTTCTTTATTATAGTAACCGTTTTTTAATCGGTGTAAAGAATAACTGGTTGTTTCCAAAAGCATTTTGATATTGGTAAAGGCGTCTGCAACTTTTGTGAAGCATCACTGTCATAATAACTGTCAAAACATGTTTATGACTGCATAAATGTATTATTGCTTTTAAAAAAAGTCACATATTGTGCATTTCTATTATACACAATTTGTACTAAAGCGATCTAAAAAGTTCATATCAATAAGTTTTCTCTTTGCACCACCAGGTGGCAGTCTTTGTATTTTCATTTTGAGGGTGCAGATTGCATACGTTTTATTAATATGTATAACTTTATTTATTTTATTAATGAATATAACTTTTATATATATAGTTAAAAAATATTTACTATTTTCCCAAGTGTATATAACTTTTACTGTAAGAAAATATCAGAACTCGGTACATACTTTCTGTGTTATCTTTGCTTGAACTGAGCCGATCTAATCCTGTTTATATGATTTGAACCTGCTCCCGATCAGGTTTGACTTAGCAGAACTGTTGCCATGACAACAACTCTCGGATCAGCTTTGAAGAACGAAACGATCCTGGATCGTGTCAAATCGTCAATATCCAAATCCAGCTAACTGAGTAATCCACGTACGAAGAACGGACCCTAGGGCTCCAAATTGGTTAGGGCCGGGCCTAATCATGATCATGCTGGATAATCACGCACGCACGCCTGTTTTAACACACTGCAGCAAAGCAATAATTTGAATGGAAGAAGATGTCGGCCTCACTGAAAAGAATTGATGAAGAGAATAGACAGTTCAAAGTTGAATGAACAGATAAGTATGTGTTTATTTTGCCCTAAGCCAGCTCGAATCAGTAACCATCTTGCTGTGAGGCCATTGTGCTACCCACTGCGCCACCGTGCTGCATCTTATGGATGTTTATTAAAAACAAGTTATGTAATATCAATTGTTTCATACCTTTGACCTTAATAAAAAAATTCAGATTTGGACCTTTTAATGTAGACATTGAGAACCCTTATTTCAGGCTATCATTAACAGATAGACCCAGATCATGAGCCTAGAAATCTGCACTGGACTATTTTTTCAGTCTGATTCCCACTGGGTTTTATTTTGCAACCAATCGCCTCTGCTATTTATTCACTCTTTGTTTATTTAAAACAAAATTCTTCTGACTGTTAATTGCCTGTTAAGACAGCGATGAAGCTGAATGGTCTCCTTTTGCTGAACCTTTTATGCTCAGTGCTGATCTGGGTCAGTTGGCATGAATATGGTTTCATTTTCCACACTGGGGCTGATAACAGAGTTCTCTGGAATTAATGTTAATAAAAATGCATTGTTGCCTTGGTAAAGTAAGCGTAATTTAAACAAGAAATGTGAAAAAGTGGCATTAAAATAATGTCAAACGTGTGAGTCTTGTAAAATAATAAAAATTCGACATATATCCTCCTATTTTCATTTTAATTTGAAGCAAGCTAACAAAAAAAATACAAGTCATTTTGTAAAAATGTACCAAAAGTTTAAATTCTTCATTTAACAGTTTAATTGTTAATGGAAAAATATATTTGATTTATTATTATTATTGTTATTTTACATTTTTTTACATACGTGGTACCATGGCTCAATGCATAGCACTGTTGCCGCACAGCAAGAAGGTCACTGGTTCGAGTCTCGACTGGGCCAGGAGTGTTTTTGTGTGGAGTTTGCATGTTCTCCGTGTGTTAGTGTGGGTTTCCTCCAGGTGCTCCAGTTTCCCTCACAGTCCAAACACATGCGCTATAGGTAAATTTAATTTACTAAAATGGCCGGGGTGTGTGAGTGTGAATGATAGTGAATGGGTTGTGGCTGGAAGGGCATCCGCTGCGTAAAACATATGCTGGACTAGTTGGCAGTTCGTTCCGCTGTGGCAACCCCTGATAAATAAGGGACTAAGCCAAAAGAAAAAATAATAAATGAGTTTTAAGACTGTCTGGACTCGGCCGGACTCGACTCGGACTCGGATGTTAAGGACTCGGACTTAAGTCCGACTCGACCCATTTAGGACTCGGACTTGGACTTGTACTCGACTGGTTAAGGACTTGGTTTCGACTTGGACTCGACAAAGGTGGACTCGACCCCAACTCTACTGTTTACATTACTGTAAGGGTTGGGTATATAGTTGGGGTTGGGGTAGACGTTAATAAAATACAATTAATAGCTAATTTAATAAACAAATTGGCGTTAATTTCGGCCGCAGCTGTATCCCGTCTTCCGTCCAAAACTCCTCAAGGTTGATTCAGATAAAAAGCCTTCATGTAGTTCACCATTATCACCACCAGAGCCTGCAAAATGACAGCTCTCCAATCGCAGGGTTTCTGTCGAAAACATGAGGAAAAGCTCATACAATGAGGGTCTGTATCAGCCTGCGGTAAACCAGCCTCTCCGGACCAACTCCGTACGCGCTCGGACTGCTGACAATCCACTGCGCGAAAAACCCTCCGCAAATCCACTTTTATCCAGCTTGTTTTGGGAATCACCACAAGGAGCCTATTTAAAATGCCAACAATGGGAAGTGCGTCCACAAAGCTTGAACTCTCTGGAACTTTACGGATTTCTATCCCCCAAGTGAATGGATTATAATTGCGTGCATTATTCGTCAGCCGACAGGAGCGCTTGGTTTTTAGCCATAAGTGCGTTTTTGGATATGATCGACTGATAGCCGCGTGCATTAACGTGATTGCGTTGATTCCTCGCTGCAGGACTGTGTTAAGCCGTCATTCGCACTCTGTGGGATTTGTTACACCTTGCATGGAGTTGAATGAGCGCACGCTGCGATTTTGGCGATCTGGCAAGCTGTAAGACACCCCTTGCACTGGAAAGTAATAGTGTATAGTGTTTTAATGCTGCATATAGACACTTAAAGAAGTTGTGGATCCTGAATATACGTTATTATGCATGCTTTATGACAGGGACTGTAGGACATCTGTAAGGATCTGCGCTTTTGATGGTCCAGATAAACATGCGCATGTTCTGAAATGTTTCTCATACATTCCATTTGCCTGTCAGATCCTCAGAGTGTCAATAATGTAGAAAGTATGTAATAATGTAGACAGATATTTGTCAGAAATCTTTCTATCAACAATAATGAGACAATAATAGACGTACCTTTATTACTTTATTAGTGGAATTATTGGAAATGTTCACTACACTAATAGGTCCCCTTTAAGGAAATATATATATATATATATATATATATATATATATATATATATATATATATATATATATATATATATATATATATATATATATATATATATATATATATATATATATATATATATATATATATATATATATATATATATATATATATATATATATATATATATATATATATATATATATATATATATATATATATATATATATATATATATATATATATATATATATATATATATATATATATATATATATATATATATATATATATATATATATATATATATATATATATATATATATATATATATATATATATATATATATATATATATATATATATATATATATATATATATATATATATATATATATATATATATATATATATATATATATATATATATATATATATATA